GTGTAACTTTCAGTGTCACGTAGTTTTGGAACAATAAAAGCATTCTCCCAAGACCGTGATTAAACCCGATCGCTAGTAGTTTTATGTCCATCTTGCGTGAATCTACTGAACGCCAGCCATTCTTTAAAAAGTGTAATCCAGCTCCATTTGATTACTCCACTGCGAGAGGTGCTTGTCAGTCGCATCTGTTGTATATTTGCACCTCCTTTATGTCCTCGATGGACATGTCCTTGTCCCCCCAGCCCCAGATGCCGTTGTCCGTCTCGTGCAGCTCCTCCAGGGGCGCGTCGGCGTGGCGGCTGCCGTCTCCAGTCCTGGCCGCGCGTCGCCTGATCATGTCGACGGACACGGTCTTCAGATCGTAAGCCCAACCGATGCGAGAGAAGAAGTCGATTAAGCCGGTGGTCAGGTTTGCTCTGTAGGTCCCGAGCTCGGCTGCTTTGTAGTCCCATGGGAAGACGTGGTGGTAGTTATGCCAGCCCTCGCCGTACCCGATGCTTGCCACAGACAGGTTCTCCACGGCGCTGATGCTCCTGTATCAAACAATTGTTGCCTTTAGACAAGAGATCTGAGGTCGCCGTAAAACATTTAGAGCCGAGCACCGCGTCCACGAAATTCAGCAGAGAGTATTGTCTGACTAAATCATGTTTTCCGTGGTGAAGCTATTCAGTCGACACCCTCAAATCCCATTTCTTGTTCCTACATTTGGGCTTCTCGCGGTGGTCGAAATTGTGTTCCGGGTTGTGATGCCGCGTGAACGTGTACGTGGTTACCAGCCAGTGAAACGCTAGACATAGACAGTGATGACCCAGACAGTGTGTCGTGTGGTATTTGCGTGTATGCAGACTTTTCGCATGAGCCAACTGGATGTGTCTGCAGGGCCGGTGTGTTGAGTGTTACCACCAAGTTCACAGTTGAAATTTTGAAGCTATGCACTTGCGGTTAGTTGATATTCGGAAACTTCGCTTACAAGTTGGAGAGTTTATTAGTGTATAATTACGGCGAAATTAAGGGAGCCTCAGAAAAACACCTTCTTCAGAAGTTTGTCGTCGTCACATCTAGAACGAAGACGCCTCCTGGATGGAGCAGATTATTTTGGCGGCTTTGTAGTACTGAATTACTTTGACTGTGGCGTTACCCTCGTGTGAAATATTACCGACAGTTGATTTATTATATTAATTATTAAATAACATCAAAGTTATATTTGGAACTCTGAAGCAGAAATTAGTGGCGTTGATAGTAACAGTAAGAGATACGAAGTTGCATTCTGAAACATTTGTTTTATGACAACAACGGCCGAGTGTTGGTCGAATCACCACATCCCGTAGGCAATGCAACTTTAAGAAATTCGTATTTATTTATCGTTAAATAATTCGTATAATAAAAAGTACAAATAAGACAATGTGACTTTCTTGCGTGCGATGTGGCGAATTCAGAAGATCTAAAAAAATAAAGCTCGGATTACTGAAAGTCAAACATTTATGAATTAATGAATCTTCTGAATTGGATGCGAATATGACCATGAATGGAGGGGCCATTTGGAGTGAGGCGGTCGGGCAAACCTGAAATTCGCCCTGAGAGACCGCATGAGAGCACGAAACACGTCGAGGTTGCTTACTCGTCAAACGGCTTGTTGCCCCACATGTGCGCCGCGCTGTTGACGAGCCAGGTGAAGTTAAGAGACGCCACCCATCGAAACATGGTGCAGTACCACGCCGTCCAGAAGTCTTCGTCCCACAAATACACAGGCACCAGCGTCGGGATTATGAATGTCATAAGTGGCATCAGAATTAAGTAGTATCTGCGAACAGATATCATCATAATTGCACTGTTAATTGATTAGTTATCGTGATCAGGCCAGTATATTATATACGTTATTGATCTTTATTAAAGTAATTCCTTATATATTGTTTGATTTTTATTAATGTTAAAATTCGGTACCTTCGTTGTTCGTCATTAAATGGTGCTAATGTATTTCCTTTCACATTTATGTGGTCGTCATGTTGGTATAACTGATGATTGTTAGAGACCACAACAACCAAACGCCCTCATGTTGTTTTGTATGTGTGTCCGTTGTTGGATCACGTAAATAGAATTGACAGGATAAATACTTGAATGTGTTCGGACTAGATTTTTGTAACACCATTTATGATGATTATTACAGAGAAGGATAATATTAAAGTGGATCTCTGGTTTCCAATTGTTATTCTGGCACGACCACCGAAATTCAGAGGCCATGCACTATCTTAACTTCGTACGCAGTTTCAAGTATGTCGATCATTGATACAGAAAATTGTACGCCACTTTCAGGCTGAAGACTGTTGCATTGGTTATTTGCAGAACCATATACGTCCACTCTTGAGATAATTTGGGTATAGTTATCATGGCAATCGCCAGGGAAAATTAATCATTTTCCACAGGAATCTCATCGGTTCAGGTTGCCTTTTTATCTTTTTCCCGTCAAAATGATATGAATCCTGGATTCAGGTTATTTTACGCATAAGCGAAATCGACTGACAAGTGAAACGCTCAGTGACTTCAAGAGGGGACCTCAGCAATGTCAAAGAGACGTAACCATACGTCATGCAGTGTTCTTTCAATAGTAAGAACAACACGAGTCCGAAAATAATTCGTTATTATTTACTGTAAAGTTTTGGTCCGTCGTGGTGGGCACTGCTGTCTTCTTTGACTGTGGATGTGCTTAGGTTATTTAACGGCGCTGTATCAGTTTAAGTAGTCATGTAGTGTTGAATAAAGACGTGGATAGTGGTTTTGCTTTCTTTCGTCCTGTAAGTGTTTTAAAATTCCGACAACACTTCTAGAACGAAAGGCAGATCTCTAGCCTAGCTTCTTCACTCACCTGCGTTGGAATACAACCACGAAGTCGTTTTCAAGGTCACTCATGTCTACGAGTTTGCCTTTACGCTTGACGTCAGGGTGTTTTCTTACGAGGAGCCAGCCAACGTGTGAGAAGAAGAAGCCTCTCTTCGCGTTGTGGGGGTCGGCGTCGGTTTCCGAGAACTTGTGATGAACCCTGTGGTCTCTCGCCCATTCGTAGATGTGGTTCTGGAATCACATCGTAATCATTTCAACAAATCAAATGCCTTTGACTTGTGTCATCACAAGACGTCCAGCTTTCAGTTCGAACGCTGATGTTCAACACAAAATTTCAAGATACACTGGTCAAAACAGTCGTCTCACCAGATGTCTCTAGTGGTTACAGAACGTGATGTTTGCCGTGTCTTCCCACGCTCTGGGTTTACCGGCTGTCTTCGTTACGGGCGTCTCAGCATTCTTAAACATCTTTCCATCCCACTGAACACTGTTGGCCCAACATTTGCGTATATAACAATGTTATTGCAGAACTTGAGGATCGTTCGTTGTTTCCTGTAGGAACGTACCTGAAAGGCGATGGTCTGGAATATTCCGAGGATGACCCTCAGTTGCCACCGGGCTTTGTAGGAGCGATGAGCCCACAGCCTGTGCGCCCCGGCTGTGATCCCCAGCGCGCCCAACCCTCCGTACCCCAAAACTGCAATAAATAAATAAACTGCAACTTTTTTTAGCTTAGGAGGACTGCATGTTACCGTCTTTGTCATTGTTGGGATGAGACTGCGTCTTTGTGGAACTGAGGCCGCTGACGGCCCCATTGTCCAACCCCCAGACGATACGTGAGCGAATATGGAGCAGCGGATGACAGAGAAAAACCATCGCTACGTTTTCTGCCATAAATCCCACGTGTGTGGCCCTGGGCACAAACCCAAGAAACTTGGGCCACGACACCGTCTACTTTTCACGAATTATCGCACTGAAAATCCATAGCTTCTCGCTGTGAGGTCACACCTTATGTTGCTCAAATTCGCCTTTTCTCGCAACATCGCGCGTTCCAGCGTCGATGACGTAGGAAAGGAATCGAAATAACTGAAACCTCCCTCTTCGTAACAGTGAACCAACTCTGTCTGCCAATAAGCCATCAAATCGGACCATAAGACTGAGACATAAGGATTTTACGTGAAACACAAATTCGTGCGTGCGCGCGCGCGCACACATAACCTAAATATACCCTATATATGTGCGCGTCGACTGTACGCACTCTGTGCAAACACAGTCTATCTGCAGTGGTAAGTTAATTGTGGTAAGATGTTAATATTCACCCCATATGGCTGTGAGGGCTTTCATTTGGAAAATTCCCACGTAAATTCCGTACAGCGCCGCCAGATGCACGTAGAGGAATATGACGACGTTCCTCCACACGATCGAATGCCGGAGTTGGCCGTCGTAGTGCACTGCGATTCCATTCTCCTTCGGTCGCTGTGAGTCAGCTCCTCTCGCAAAATGGGACGCGGAATGGTGTAGCCCCTTGGTCTCCGTTGTGAGGACAGTGGTGTCCATGATCTCAGCACCCTGTCAAGAGATGCAGCATCTTACTGTACTTTATCACAGGACGATTGGCCCACACTCTGCGTTTCAAAGCGCACAGCTTTTGGCGTTGCGTGTATGGTCCCGTTCCGCCAAAACGTCGGTCAGAGCTTAACACCTTACAAGAGGACGTAAATGGGGCTTAGTTTGCACCGAGCTAAGGATCCCGAAAAGTTGTCAGTAGGATGGAGATCAAACTTGTTCTTTCAACACAGTTTCTTTCCACAGGAAAGTTTGCAGATTGAATATTTTAATGTAATTTTGTTTGACTTCCTTTCTTTTTAATGTACGTGTTTATTGGTGTTTGTCTTCCACAGACTCTTTGCTGCTGGCAAAACTAACCTAACCTAACCTAACCTAACCTAACAAACGAGTTGAACTGAAATATATTATCGTTGCTTGCTTTGTCCCGAAATTACCGTGGCGACAAATATTTCAGTACAGTGTCTTTGTCTCTGTATATTGTTTTGGGCCTAATTCTACGATAATTTTGTCTGTCTACTTCCACTGTAGCGTCTGCATTATCCACCATAACCTATAATAATATCATCTTAAACTCGTTCTTCCTTTGCCGGTTTGTTTTTGTTTAACGACGCACGAGTTTAACGCACTACTCACTGTCCACGCAGCACAGAATACGAGAATGCGGATACACAGAATGCCCTTGCCGGGAATCGAAGGTGCCGGCCTCTGATATTAGCGAATTGTTACAGGCCACTTACGAGTGCGTTTTAAACAGACCACAGGCCAAAGAATGCAGAAGAAGGGAGCTTACTGAGTCAGGACGTAAGTAGTATCGTGTCCTGTGTCTCGATTCTCTTTTGTAAGTTTTCCCTTCTTTCCTGACAGCACGTCCAGGGTCCAGGATGAGATTGAGAAAACTGACTCTCACAGCCACCAAAGTACAGTTCAGTACTCAGAGTTGCAACATCCCGATTAGGCGTTAAATCTCTATTCGGAAAGTCCGCCCAGAACAAAAAAGTTGTTTGCAAAGTCTAACAGACGCATAACGAACCCTGAATATTTTGTAACATTTACGGATATTCTTCAAAGGGGGGCGAACGTAGTGACGTAACAAATTCATTAACCAATCAGCGGCCTTACCTAGGCCTTGTGTGTTGTGATAAAAACTGAAGGTTAAACACGTTTACTTGAAGTTAAAAAATGTCAGTCTAAGAAATGTAATTTTCGTATTTCAGAAACTCTGAAATATTTGGCCGGCGTGCTAAAGTTTGGGTCGTGGTCTGTCCACGAAGCAAACGAAACGCGAAACGCCATCGAGGATAAAATCACGAACTGCCCGTGACAGTCCAAAATTATACTTTCTTCAACTTACGTATGTCACTGACTGGTAACGATGTTATAAGCTGCTAGTTTCTGGCTTGGTCTTCGTAGTTTTACGTGAAATACAGACGTATGAGATGTCGCTGTCGGTAGTCTGTGTCGTCAGTCAGCGACGTAGATCTCGTTAGTAACACCGACATGGCGATTAAACGAACTTTCGAAGTGACAGAGAATGCTAGAGGCATTAATTAGTGCATTTCCTGAAGTCTTGTGTGGTGATGGATCCTCCTCCATCTTTCTTCAACACCGTGCGCCTGCGTGGTTGAACAGCGGAGTAGAACCTAACCTAACCTGCACGCCCGTATCATCAAACTTCCTTCGATAACGGTTAACCGGTGAACCGATTAGCTTCGTGGAAATTTGCGTGATTTTCAAACTTTTAAAACCGGCAACGATACGAAGCTATTAACTCGTATCTCAATAAGCTCAGGTAATGTGGAGACAAGACAGTTGCGTACAAATAAAACAGGAGAGTCGTCTTTCCCGAAAATTCCTGCAAAATTTCGCAACATTTTTTTTTATGATTTAGTGTTGTGATTCCCCCGGCCAACTGGTGAACCACCCCTTGTCGATTGTCCGTGACTGCTTATTCAAACATTCGCAACTGCGCGTATCTACCAACAGTCTTGCTCTGTCGTCCGCTATCTGAAGACCTCGTGACTCAGCCTGGGGCAGTGCTGACGAAGGCCCATTTCCGTGTTTGAATGACCTCAGCATTGCAGGTGCCTCACGTCTGAATATTCAACGGTGATACTGCGTAATAATATAGAACTAAGAGGCCAGAGAGCATGGGAATCTGAAAGCAACTTTTAGCAATTCTGGTGTTGTCCACTACAAGGACTTCGGAATATTTGTCGTGTTGTTGACTGTTGAGGACGAAGAAATCGCATTGACAGTTCATTGGCTCACAGTCTGGTGGATTAGTGCTTAAAGGTCTTCATGTAACAGCGGAGTTACTTCTAGTACACGCCAGTCCTCAAGCGACTGAGACAAAGCACGTTTTAACAGCAGAATGTTTATATAAATTACCAGATATATCACAGTAATTACGTTTTTATACGTCGCACAGAGAGGCATGTGTTCTGAGATTGACAGGCCGCAAAATCCTAAAACTGTCTCTGGTACGTGGAGTCACCATAAATTTTCGCCCATTAACAGTTCAGAGATTAAGATATATTTATTGTCATCAGATAAAGAAGATATGTGTACAAACGTGTCACAGGTTTAACTGATTTTGCAGTAGAGACAAGCCAGTTTATGTCCCAGAAAGTGTGTTGCTGGTACGTACAAAACTGACTGGTACATAAGACGCATCACTGCACATAATGGCGATGAATGTGACATTTTGTTGAATTTGTAGAGGGAAGACACAAAATACCTTGAAATTTCGTGGTGAGAAAGAGAACATAAATGCCATATTCTATTGGCCCATGTTCCGTCCATCGTTGTGTGGTTGGAGTGGACAGCTTTATGGAGTTCATCATCATGCTTTTGCAGACATAATTCGCAAGAACATCCTTCAGTACAATGAAAAGACGACATTGCAGTTTAACTGCGTGCATGTTGATTGTTGGTTTCAAGTGACTTGATCGAAATGATCATAAGCTCAGAAGCACCTCTCACTTACTATCGTCCTTTACGAGAAAATGTTTCTTGCCTACACAGTTAATGATTTATTTTTCATCACTCAAAGAAAATCCACCATATTCAAACTTTCGTCTGATGATACTGTCGTTTGTTTGTGATTTGTCAAAGTTTCACTCCCTTGGATATCTTCGCACATTGGTTCATTAGTTTTAAAAAAATCTGTTATAAAGGTCACTTCCTTCAGATTGTTTGCTTCACAACAATCGATTCCCCGAGAAAAAGTGTTTAATATGTGTTGCTTACTACTCTCACGTATGTGGCGAAAGTATTGAGCAATTCTTGTGTGGAGTTGGGAACCCGTCACAATTTTGGATATTTGGAGTAATTAGGATTTCATTTTCAGTTTACGAATTGTCCGTTTACTAAAAGTATTCGTCTAGCGGATTACGTTGCAGGCCAAAATTTACTCTGATCTTTGCACTTCTCACGCTTCGAAGAGCCTTCTTCTGTTTCCCGCTTCCTTGTTTTGTATTTTGTCGGGAAAATTCCAAGAACGGGGCCGCGATTTTCCTGTCAGCGAAGGGACGCCGTCAACATCTGGGCTGGCCACACTTTGTCCACAGCCTTCAATTCGGAATTAATGGCTACACCCATAACAAACATTTTCATGGTCCTCGTAGAAACACGAGAAAGTAAAACTGCGTAAATAAATATAGGAAAGTTCCTTGTATTGTTTGCAAACCGAAATGTAGATTTTTCCGTCTGTGCACGAAAGTGTTCCAAACAACAGTAGGCATACATAGACGAGTTCCCAAGGCCTGTAGGTGGTATTCTTCGACGAATGGCTGAGTCGTGGAAATTTCCTAACGCTGGTAAATGTTAAAAGTACCTGGGGCTTTCCCACAACTTTTATCGTCCAAGCCCGCAACATGACATGGGGTTATGATGTAACGATAATGTACTACAGGCCCGCACGGGTCGAAATTTCGTCTTCGTTACTGCCCGAATAAAACCCGATCTATTTACAATCTGGCCCGACTTTCGTTATCATTAGTACATGTTACTTTTTAACGCACAAAACCACTTGCCATTGAATGAGTTATTTAACAACGTTTTAAAATATTTGAGGTTATTTTGGCATTTGATAAATAGCACAAAGGCGACGGGTGCCAAGTCTCGCAGGTGTTTCTGGGAACATTCCCGAGAAAATCAAGGCGATGAGACTTTCTTCCCCGGAACCCGAATGTTTGTCACGAGCTTAAGATTGGCTCAGGTACAAATAACACCATTTCGTTGCGGAGAGCGAGTTGCCGAAAAGACTCGAAATGGTTCTGTTTTATGTTTGATAGTTATAATTTGAACCAGTGCATAACTCACCGCCGCGAAAACCTCAAATCCGTAATTAACTCATTTCTCATTACGTTTAACTTCATTGCAATAAGGCCAGCAATGTGCACTGTTCAATTTTTTTAACTTTCAACAACTTTATAAAAACAAGTTTAATCTGCAGAGCAGCCAGTTTTGAAGCAAATCGATAATTTCTGGTACAAGGACGGCCTTCAGCGATGCCCAACTCGAGCATTTTCCACCTCGAACTGAAGCGGGGTTTCACCGCCTGGCGCTAATCAAATAAACGCTCTCGTACCTTCAGAAGGGCCTTCCATGTCCCACTGCAACTGAAACACTGCAGTTGAATAATCTGAGCAGCAATAATTTCGTGAGAGCGGTTACGAACTTCAAGAACACAGTTCGTCCTATTGAAATCGACCAGACGTGTGTGAGACACAGAATGGGAGCGTATTTTTACGCTTCAAAAAGGGCACCGGGGTGGGGGTGGGGACCTGCGGAGAGCAAAGCCCAAAGAACCCTTTTGGGGAAGTCATGCGGGTTGCATACTCCCAAGGGGAATCCGACACACACACACACACACACACACACACAGGGGAAGACGTGGACGAACACATGATGTGTGTTCTTCGCTGACGCCAGACACAGCGTGAGCACATTCGACAGGGTTGCGTGTATGTACGCGAACATTCTAGGGGCGTTCTTGGCGCCATATCACGTACGCCGTTCTTGCTCTGATGTGGTCCAGGTTCCTTTTAGCGTGACCTTAAATCGCTTTGCTCTGAGCCGAGGTCCCATTGAGAGACTCAGAACATCCAAATGACAAATATCGTCTTCTGTTTAATGGCGTAGTAAGGAACAAACGCCCGTCATTTCGCGTCATTCACGTAAATCATGTCAGAATCAAGTATAAAAAATACGGAAGACGTTCATAAGAAAAAATATTTTAACGAATGTTGACGAAGATAAAATTATTCGAAGAACGTGATTGCGGAAGTCTAGCTAGTGCGCGCTTTTCTTTACAGAACTGTAAATGGCGTTCAGTTAACAGTGCATGTCTCGAACAATTGAATGTTGACGTCACGAAAGGTAAAAGCGGACATCACTTCTCTTATCACGTGTTGCAGTGAAATGTCCATAAACTGATTTCGATCTGTCACTTGTTCAATATTTGAAATTTCTGAAGTCTATTTTCTTTGTCTTAAAACTAATTTTGAGTGTTAGATAACTGATAAGCTGATAGTGACCAAGATACTCCCTAGGTTTTATGAAAATCGAAGTTTCAAGTCACAAGAATGTGACCACATTCTGTTTCCTTGCATCTTTTTTAATATTATCGCCCCATATAAGCCCAGGTCTTCAACTCTAGACGAATTAATCCACTTTTGCGTTGGCTCCATTGAGATTTTAGTGCGGGCGCCTAAAAACGTCCACAGGGACGTGGAAAACCGGAAAACCTGCGCTTTTATGGGATGATAATATTAAAATGGATCTTAAATAAGTGTGCTACGGTCTGGACTGGATTGATCTGGGTGGCAGACGGTAATAGACCTTTGGTTCCATAGAAGACGGGGAATGTCTTGACTATCTGAGAGTACTATAAGCTTCTCCGGAACCCTGTTTTACGGAAGTTCGAGATATTGAGAAATCTCTTTCAGTACCAATGGACAGGTTTGCAAAAGACAGCAGAAATACGCGAGTCGAAGCGAATGGCGCACTATTCAGAGGTTTAATGACAATGATCGCGATTTTATTTCCCGTGGTCGCGGATTGTCCGTGATATCTGTTCGAAGAATGTCAGACTGTCGACGCAAAGAATTATGACCCAGCACTGGAGAGGTGCAGTCCGTGCTAGAGTAAACTCAAATTACGAATGTTCTGGCTGGAAGAGTCCTTTGCCCTACACGCAAGCGTCATCATGGTTTCGTCAAAATTCAGCAGTACGCCGCGGGCGATGTAGGAAAAGATGAGGGTAAACTTTGAACTGGCATGAGACTCTGACCTTCTGATCTTCTCATTAACAAAAGAAGCGAGCGAGTAGTAACGTCATGTAATGTAATGCGTATACTTTTCTCTTTTCCATGCTGAGAGAGCTGTTTGCTGGAACTAATTTGAAGACAACGAAGTTTTCCGAGGGTCTTAATTTTCTATTAGAAACTGATCGAGAAATGTAAGTTACATCCCATGACGTCTGTTGGAAATCTCTTAGTATGCGGGGTTCACTTTCGTAATGCGACTTGGCCCCTTGGACTCGTGAGTACGTGTACATCGGATCGAACCCTGGTTATGTCATGCATCTACTATGTACTGTTTCGCATTATATTTATTTTATTTTATTTATTATTGACTGCAAATGGGTTTTTACCCGGTGGCAGTGACCTACAATAAGACACAACAAAACAACACATCCCACTCAAAATAAAACAACTCATAAGATTACAAAACCATCTAACCTAAAGTACTTAACTTAAAAATTAATACCAACTAGACATAAGACAATAACAGTAATGAATTACATACGACATATACGCATTATATGCAGAATTGAATTTCTATTGTTCTGTACTTTTTTTTTAAAAAAAATCCGTTACCGTACATCAATATATGACGTCAGTGACAATATTGTCGATGTCACCTCACAAGTTCGCTCGTCCTCCATGTTGGCACTGCCATTATAGGAAATTAAAAAGTACGATTTTGTGGTAGACCACAATGGCATAACGTAGTTACCAAATTTCGTCCAAATACGCCCAGCGGTTCTCATGTCGAGTCGTTCGTTGGTTTAATGTGCGTCGGGAAAAGAACGCAAAATAAAAATAGAACGAAAAAGCGTAAAAATAAAATAACAGTCGAAAGTGTAAGCCGTATTTGGCCACATTACGTTCATCGGCTTTGGCGACGTAAGGCCCAGTGAAATTTCTTCGCTCCTGGACAGGAAATTCACTCCTGACGACCATTCCAAGTGCAAAATGTAATCACGAATCAGATAATCAGACTTGGGCGGGAAACGTTTTAATTTTATAAGATAGAGTAATTGCGTCATATTGTGAATATTCTAATAATTATTTATTTTAATCCGTCTTATCACAATATTTAAAATTTCTTATAATTAAGATAATAAAATATCATTGATGTTCCATATCGATTGATCGATTTACATTTTGGAACAATCACTCCTACATCTAGGGTATGTTTTATTTTAGATTTACTTTTATTTTATATTATTTTTATTTATATCTTACTGCTACTTTCTAACTATAATTTATATATTTTGCATTTTATTCTCTAAATTCTTTTATAAATTCTTTCAAATTCTTTAGTGTTTCTTTCAATCTTCTACTTACAGACCGATATGTACATCTGATAAAATTTAAGAAAAGACAACACCTCGCCCAAAATTGAAAAACAAATGGCATGAAACATCACCAAATGGAATCATATTTGAGTTTTAAGTTCGTAAATCTTTTACACCTGAAGATGGTTTTATAAAAACTGAAACATGTTGTGTAAAGGATGTTCCAAAATGTAAATCGATCAATCGATATGGAACATCAATGATATTTTATTATCTTAATTATAAGAAATTTTAAATATTGTGATAAGACGGATTAAAATAAATAATTGTTTTAATTTTAATGTCTCCTAGGTCAATGACTCTCAAATCTTTTCGCTGGTGACACCCTGAATACATAATCCGTAGTCTGCGCAACTCCGATCACATCTTCGGCAAGCGATTTATTTGTGAATGCACGATGGAATGGACGTTTGCTGCGGTGCCAATATCAGAAAGATAAATTTATTTCCCTTAAACCACATGCAAGGATAAAAAAGGTTGTTTAACATTAATATAGATTCTGCTAACAATATCATTGTAATGGTGTGATTATGGATAGGTTGAGTCCTACTAATGTTGGTAGCGTGGCTTGGAATGGAACACGGCAAGTTCACAAGGATGCTGTCGTCGGCTTAAACATACTCAGCTGATATGATATTTCTTCCAGTGAATTTATAGTCTGTTCCCTAAGACTATACACCATTTATTTCTAACACTAAGTACTACAGAAATATTAGATTTGTGTTAAACATTACATTCCTAACTCAGGCTAGTTCACTTTATTTCAACAACACCCTGGTTACGTAAATTTTGAAGATTTATCTTTCAACCCGTAATATACTAGGAGTCAACGCCTCAGCGCTTACCTGTTTTCAGAAGCCCGATCAATGTCCTCTTGCCCATGGCTTCAGTGACTTCCTTTTATCTTCAAAGTTCCGGCCGTTCTGAACTCGATCTATGTCCTACTTCCCTCGTTACCTGTTCGTTTGCATTTTCCCATACTTCTGCTGACAGCATAATGGCTACGTCTGCATTTCCGGTTAAGTTTTCATTCTCATCCCCTTAGAGAAAGGTGAGCTATCCTTGTTACTTTACTCAATGCCAGGAAATGACATCAACACAATCCTACCTTTTAGGAAATTCAAATCTCTACATTTCTAACTTACCATATGTTTACTAAAATTAATTCACTACATCATTATAATAGTATATGAATGAATATAATTCACTCTGTTCCAACATTGGGAAATATAAAATTAATAAAATGTATCAAATCCCGATATTTAAGGCACACTAAAATAAATTAGCCTAATTAAAATAACTGAATTTTCAGGAGGGGACTGAGGAAAAACAACACCTCAGTCAGGACATCAAACCTGTCGGATCTTAGTACGGTACTCTGTAGGCGTCTTAGGACATTTTACAAGTGAATTCCTATCCACTATTGACGCATTAATAAAGATCAGCCCCCCCCCCTCCCCTCAACCCCAATATCGATGTGTTACGAAGTGCAACGTGAAAAGCTGAAGTTGTAATGACATTCACACGAAACCCCTTCGCCATCAAGGTGTTTGCTTGGGCTGTAATGGGTCACTGACTTTCCTACACAGTTCCTCGATTTGGATGGAAGATGGATCAGATATCTTCGTTTTATGATCGTGACTGTACCTACTGAACTTCGCGACCGAGTTATTAAAGTCCTGCATCCGGGTTCAAACCAAGGACCGGAGATCGGTTAACCCGACTAAACATCTCAAACCACGGCACGACCGCTTCCTTCCACGTCCTTTACAATTCATCAATCATATTGTCCATTCGACGCTTTTTAGTCTGAGCTGTTTAGAGCAAATAAATAACAATTCTTGGATCTCGTAGGGTTGAACGTAGAATTTTAATTTTCTGAGTGATCTTGAACATCGGTACACATTACGCATGCAACGTTTGTGTTGGTTGAAGGTAAACGGCGCGAATTGACCTCACTCTCTTCAAAGAAAGACGAAGGATCCCTGGAAACGAGCCGGGTGACAGTAAGACGCGTCCCCAAGACGGAAATTACTGCCCTGAAACCGTCGGCTATCTTTCGACAGCGTGCGACTGGGATTCCCTTGCAGTTCCTACAATTTGGCCCGTCACTGCTTGCAGTAGAAGCGACCGGCTGTCTGTCCCTGAGGACAAAATGAATTGCTGTGCTGATGAAGTAAGTCGAGAAAGGACTGGAAACATTCACGGAAAGAGCCAGTCACAGCGGCTTTGCGGTCTGAAGCGTGAGGTTTGAATGAACACTGGGTTCGAATCCCACCCTCTGTGATCATCTGCCTCGTGTAGGCAGAAGGCCTTTGCTTAGGGTTCATCCTCCGTCCGAGTTCTGACCGTAATTTCTGAAGCAGCTTCTTTGCGAACAAGGACAATCCATAGAAGCGTTAGAAGAGTGGCCTCGTAAGTTCCAGGCAGACATAATGATGTTGGTACACCATAGTCCATGTTTGCTTTTACTTCTACCCCGCAGGTAGACGAAAAGTACAGTTGGAAAACGCTGGTTTAAATGTAGCGAATTGGCCGGGGTCTATCTGTTCTTACTCCAGCGTTCAAGTTCTAATGTCTCTGCGTTTCTTCTTGTAATGTTGGCAGCTGCTCGATTCGCAGTTTATTTTAGGGAGTGCTGTTGGTACTGCATTTGTCTCTGCGTATTTGTTGTCGCATTATTTTCTTGTTTTCCTGTCCAGTGTTTACCTTCATCTGTTGTGCGTTGTTATTTATAATAATCTAAATACGGTTCTTGATTTATTTTCGTTGTATGCCGTTTGTTTTGCTGCTGTTCTGAGCCAAGACAGAGCGACACTGCACGGACGTTTCGTTCTGTCTGCGCATTTGAAAGTCGAGATGTCAGGTTTGAACACGTACTGAAGAAGGGTGCGAGCGAATTTATGAATACGAATTTGCAATGGACGTTGTTTTTAGGTTAGGATTTCTTTAGTTACGTGCATCTGTCTCTCCTTACGTACAGATAAGTCTTAGTTCAACCTTACCCGAGTAAAGAAGGAAGTGGGGAGTGGGTGCATTCCGAGTTGGGGCACTTCTTTGCGTTCTGAAAAAATCAAGGAATTGTCAGATACTGCATGGGTTATGGTATTCACAGTGAATGTTCTGCCTTTTAAAGAATAACGTTCAAATGCAGATACAGCTTCAATTTCCAGTTAAAATTACGTGCTGTATACACAGAAGCACTGAAACATTGAATTGAAGTGCGCACAACCTGTGCGATTAGTGGTCTTCAGCTTTCCTCATGGGGCAGGTCCTCCGGCTTTGTGGATGATCGCTAAATATCTATTTTTTTTTATAATTGACCTAGGCCTGTATTATATGGCATACTTTCCTTTATATCGTAAATACATTTCGACTCCAGAACCTAATAGTCGCTCAGCTGGTCGAGGCATTCGGGATCCCCAGATGTTGATTACCGCGTTCACAGGACCGAGCGTGTCCTGAATCAGCCGAATCTGGTTCACACCCTAAAATAAAATTTCTTTAAGGTCCATTTCAATATCACTCTCTGAGTCCCTCGAAGGTTCTTTGACCAAATCTCACGTGCATTTGTCCCATGCGTGATGACGTTCGTCACAAGAGAGAGGACAAAGGTCACTGAATGTTCGACGCAAAACAGTGTCACTTACGGACAGCATATTTTAATTTTAATTATTTTCGCTGCCAAGAACAATAGCTGACGGCAAACAACCAATTCCACGATTAACGCAGAGGACGTGACTGTCAATAATCGCTGGATGTCATTATGAACAAGCTTTTTCTTGCAGTCACGAGGCTGCGGTCAGCTGTTGAACTTCTCGCCACTGCCAGTCCAGCGTTCCAGTCGAAAGGCCTTTTAAAGTAAGTTCTCCCACTAGCACTTACTTTGTATTTGACTTCGCCTGTTCGCCTGGCTCGCTGTTTCCAGCATCTTTTCTCTCAGGGGTGACATCAGATGGACGCCGCTGTCCACAAGCAGACACATTCAACAACAGTTTGTCTTCTGTAAAATGGTACGCTTTGAGTGATTTATTTTTCCCAGAATCTCTTCTAGATCTCTTACAGGGCGCTGTGATCTTTATTCTTTAGCGTAGTCGAAGAACACTTTATGGCAGCCGTTCTCAACCTGTGTGCCGCGAGGCTTTGAATAGAAGGATGATTATGTAAGCTGTGCTGGGAGGTTCCTACGATACTTGCAGGGGGGAATGTTCCTGGTCTCCAAAAAATGATGACGAAAGACACCCCAGTCGGAAGATTATCTCTGGAAATTGTCGACTTTTGACCGGGAATTGTTTGATTACTTCGGTTCAAATTGACCCACGTAACTTTCCATGTAAGTGTGGCAGGAATATTCCGATTTACCATGTGTAAAATTCAACATGAAAAATTTTAATTTTTTTTTTTTGGTAAACATCACATTATTACCGACAGTTGATTTATTCTATTGATTAGTTAATAACATAAAAGTTATATTTGGAACTTGGAAGCAGAAATTAGTGGCATTGGTAGTAACAGTTGCTGTTGGCGTTAACAGCAGTCCTAGTGAGGGTACCCCACCCCTCTCCTCCCACAAAGGAATTCGTAAGGACTCAGTTTGTTTTCAGAGCCTGAAAATATCGACGCTCGTGCACGCAAGGAAGGTTCGGCGTCGCTCATTTCTTGCACGATTCGTGTCGAGTGCAGTGAGTGCCCTCTGTTGGGAACGTTTCTCGATGCGAAGAAGAAGAAGAAGAATTACTCAAGAAATGACCCTAAAATTGAAATTTTTTTAAAAAATAAAATTTACTGCAGTGAAAATTTACTCACAAATCAAGATAGCTGTCTAATGAGTTGTAGAGTAGTCCGGTAGAAGTTTACAGACGTTTCAGAGGTACTTGCTGCCTCCATCATCAGGGCCTTCAGAAACGTCTGTAAATTCCTACCAGACTGCACGGCTCTACAACGCATTAGACGGCCATCATACTCCTCGTGCCCTAAAAATAGGCGTCTGTTTAAAAAATGTTCTCTGTTATAATTCTTCAAAATGTTGAGAACCTCTGTCTAACGGGCTCCTCTATGTCTGTCTGTCCATATACCTTCACATTTTTAAAATAACCTTGGAGCACCCTGACGTCATCGCTCGTGCCATTTTATAAAGGACGCGCTCGCAATTTTAGTGCGCCCCAAAGAGAATGCGTTTACGATCTTGATTGTGCGTGTTATCATGTCTTTAAATCTGAAAGTCTCTTTGCTGCTGTTGTTCGAGTTTCAAGGAATTCAAATCCTAGGGTAGGCGATGAATCAATGCTGCATGGAGTGTGGCCGGCATGATTCTGCTTTGAAGTCCAGCGGAATTTTATCATTTTAACACACATCATCTCTTCATTTTGACCGCAGAATCTATTATCTATCGGTTTCTGATGATTCTCTGAGAAAAAGTCGACCATTTCCCTAAACAGCATTAACCAATGTGTATTTGTAGTAACTGAATTTTTAAATAATATTGACATTAGTTTCGTTTTCAAACAGTAGATGGCGTGGAAATTTTTCCGTAGTCGCTCAGGTTCGTACGGTGAATGTGCCATCGTTGCAGTAGCTGCTGGATGAACAGGATATTATTATTGTTGTTATTGCAATTTCACGTGCCGAAGTGCGAAGCGACGGAATTTTCCTATAGTCTGTGATAATTGTAAATATTTTCAGGTCTGCCGACGTTTCGGAACTGGATAAGGCAAACTTAAATTAGCGTGAATATTAATATGTGATGGGGGGATTCGGAACCCCACAAAACACTTTAGGAGGGTTGGAGACGTCCCCACAACAAATAATAATTGACGGACAATTACGCTGTCAGTCCGAGGTAAAAGAAACATCCTTTAGCCTCTGACCGGGCCGTCGAAGCAAAGAGGCTGAAGGAGGATAATATTAAAATGGGACTTAGAGAAGTCGGGCTTGCGTGGGGATGTGTAAGCTGGAATAAAGTACTTTGAGATCGGCCTGAACGATGGGATTTTATGATCGCGATAATAAACTTTCAGGTTCCAGAGAAGAACGTGTGTAATTTTCTTGATCACTCTGGCAGCTGTTAATTTGTAAATAATTAATAGGGTTATTATAATAATGAGTAGAAGAATGTGAAATTTGGACCGGCAGCCTAATGCAAATGCTATTTTATAGGATCCATAGCTTCCAAAATTAAACGATTCAAAACTGACATCAATTTCTGCAGTTTTAAACTAGTTTTACACGAACCCCCTGCCCCCCCATTTTAATTGGCAGTGTCATGGAAGATCTCGGTGCGACGTGGTCTGGAAATTCCTGGAGAGATCGAACGACCTTTTATTGTTTCCAAATTATTATTAATATAATTATTATAAATTGTAGTGGTCGTGCTATGTATTTATTTTCTTCTCGGAAAGAACTTTAAGATTGTTTAAATGTTTCTAACGTAACACGAAAGGTAAGCACCGTCGCCATGTTTTCTGTCACATTTAGTACACACTTAATATCTGTTGTTGCCTTACACTACTTAAGAACCGTATAAGAGGTGTCGCTCGCACCTCAGAAGTTTGTGGGATCCATTTCTTGTAATAAATTAATCGACAGTGTGCGAGAATGTTTCTGTGTCGCACAATTAGACAAACGGGCTTGTGTTCAAATCTTGCAGCTGCCCAGATTAATTATCTTACCGACTAATTACAGGCATGCTAATTCTGTTCGTGTTTTGTTTATTTCCCCACGCATCGACACATGTTCCGTTACTCACAGGAAATGTGGCATGGCCTACTTTTAGCACAATAAACCCGTTGCTAAGTGAAACTCCTTAGCTTGCACCGTCAGACATTCTAAACACAATAAGTGCTTCAGGAATGCGACGCACAGGCAACGTACGAATCGGAAAAAACATATGACAGTCTTAAAAATGTAGTGCGACTACAGAAAACATATCGCATTCACCACCTTTAAGGCATACAATGACGTGATTATGTTTCGAAATTTGAATATCGTCAAAATGAGACTAGATTCTTATTTACTTATGTCACGTTCGGTTATCTGACATGAAATGTGTTTGCAATAAAGTTTAGTAAGTTTAACTGAAATGTGTTTGCAATAAAGTTTAGTAGGTATAAGAGTAGAAGTGGTATTGGTTGTAATGAAACGATCTGATATTTTGTTCTGATACGTAAACTAATAATTTAATAAACTAATATCAGTGTTCAGGACCAAGGCAATTCAGTAGAATCTGATAATCAGTCCCGACGGGACGCACAACAGGACGTAACAATGTGGCAAAGATTGTCGGAACATTTGTAAAACGTGTATTCATCCGCGCGTGAATCTGGACTTCCAAAAAGAGAGATTAAACTACAATTGAATCGTAAACAGACGAGTTTGTTGCTGGGTTCTTCAAATGTAACAAAAAAAATATTTCCAAGAATATTCCACTTACAGATTACACAAGTACACGGTCACCGGACTAGAAATTGTTTGTGCAGTGGCTGCCGACATTTTTAAATTTACACCCAGTATAAATTTAAAGTCTTTTTTTTTTCCACAGAAAAATAAAAATGTGTCAAAAGAACATAAAAAAAAAGACAGAGAAACTAAGACACATTTCATCTTAATCACATATATACAGACTTTATAAAATCTTACAGGTTTTGTAGTGAGGTCAGTGTACCAAATTCCTTACGAATCTGTAATGCATTGATCGCTAAATATCGTGTAAAAAGTTTTGCAATCCTTGTCTGTTATTGAGTTATTTGGAAATATTTATTGTAAAACGTGGCACCTGTTTTAAGAGACACGCGAGACGTACAGTTAACAGCTTTACTCACAGAGACACCGAAGACTGTTGCTGCTGGTTGCAGAGGCTGCCAGACACTGTTTACACAGCTGTGCTTCATATTCACCTACTCAGTGTCTTCATAACCTTCCAGTCAAAGAACTACACTGCCATTGGCGGAGCCATAGTGTTGCTGATAGGCTAATACAGGTCCAAAGGTGTCCAAAACAGTGCTGAGTGTCCAGCGGTGTTGTTCTGCGTGTAAACATGCAGACAAGTCTTCTTGAGCAGCTGGGTTATGTTGGACAAAACGAGCTCCCGCTCTGGATTAGGAATTAACCTTAATTAATTAATTAGACCTTTGATTTAAGGAAAGTTGCTGGTGACACTTGTGCCTGTCGCGGAAGTAGGATGCGGCCTCCAGAAATGGAGCATGGGCACGAATATATTGAATGAAGTCGCGGACAGCCGACAATGGGTGGCATTCCACCGAAAAGAAAGTTACGTAAGGCCGTAACAGGCAGGAGTTCATTGACCAGTTGAACGACTACTAGAACCACCTTGCTTCATGAAATTAGTAATTAGCAGTCTTCGCGTGGGTCTGGCCCCGAGTTCGAATCCTTCTTGGGGCTTGCTTATTTGTCAGCGTCCACTTTTTGCGAGATTCCGGATTTCACGACGATGAATGTGAATATGGCTGTCTTCTGGGATGTTGCACTTTGTAGTCTGGTAGAAATTTGCCGACGTTTCAAAGATGCTTACTGCCTCCATCATCAAGGTGGTCGCCAGCTTCTTCTGCCTTGCCTAATTGTGGCCTGTTTTTACTCAAGGCCTGCCATTCGAGTGTGGCATGGAAAGCTTCCACTGGGATCTCTGAGACTCAGATGTAATTTTCGTGCCAAGAAGAACGTGTCGCACATTCTCACTGAATTCGAGATAGTAGTCTACGTAGCCCCCCACAACTTCGTATATAACATGTCAAGAATGGCCGAAAGGTTGTGCACGAAATTTTATATTAGAGAACTTAAAAAAAATCGTCGATTGCAGTTTTGGTTAAATTTGGAAAATTACACTCTCGATACCAAACATGAAGAGAAATATTGCACAAGACAACAAAGACAGAACACTACTGTGACGTTCTCGTTGCATGCACTTCCGTCCAGACGCAAAGCTCAGACATTACGCCGCCATCGTGCTGGCCAGTGTCACCTCGCGGCTAAATTGGCTACTAAATAGACTCACATGTTCGCCAGAGAACAGTTATCAAAGCTGTCGTTTTGGTCAGTTGTATCAAGAAGACGTAAAGCCCTACTATTGCATATGAAGTACTTTTATTCCAATTGCATTGGGTGGCACTTGATTTAGCAACAATGTAATAATCTCCTACTTGATTTTGGGTTATATTCCCGTTAATGTTTAATGCCATGCAAAATCTAGTAGTAGAACTTTGTGAACAGCAAAACTCTAGACTAATCTTAATACGTGTCTGGACGATTATTGAAACAGCACGCGTTTGTCCCAGCATTTAGCTAGCCCTCGTGGCCAGTCAGCGAAACTAAAACAAGGAACCAGAAATTGCAAAAACATTGATTGGAGAGCATGTACACCAACAGTGAACGAAAATTCAAACATGGCGCTGAGAAACATCATTGCTGCTGTAATTACCAGTTATTTTCGTATTGTTATATTTAAATACTACAATAGATGCACAAAGATACACGTACGTGCAGAAACCGGTGACGAGCACGTGATGAAACAGCTCAAACCTCACAGTGTGTTCTTGTACCAGGTAAGTGAAAGACAGAAGAAACGCTTCCAGTCTTCTGAGGTCAGTTTCCTAACAAGATGTGTTCGGTGCGGAAGATTTCACAGGAAACGGACGCTTCTTGTCGAGTCTTTAAATTTAACTCTGTTTTCTTCTTTTCATCTGCTCCATGTTTGTATGTTTAGTTCGATCTTTACTTCTTGGGCGCTTAAGGTGAGGTAGACGAGGTACTTTATACGTCGTCATGTTGGTACGCGGGGCCCAGCTCGACGTAATAATTTTCCATAACCCACAAGACTTACCTGATTTACAAACGCATCGGTGACATGTTTTGTAATACAGAAAATGGACGTCAGATTAACGTGACTCTGCTGGTACCATTATGTGTTACAGCAGGTTTTGGCGATGGCTACTGCTGACGACAACAAGGTCACTGCTCGGGTCTACCAGGACATTAACTGGCCTGTCGTGCTCTATTACATCCACCTACACATAGGGGCTGCGTTTGGAATTTACTATGTCTTTACAGAAGCCAAAGTCATGACATCGGTTTTTGGTAAGATTTCGTTGTGTTCATGTCTGTAGCAAAAAATGCCCCGTTGTCACAGAAGTTGGCATTAAACAGGAGTTTTACTGTGTGAATGAGGTAAATCGAGCCGGAATGTTGTGTCTCGATGTCGGTGTGGCTAGAATCTATCTGTAAGTCGGGTGTTGTCTTTTCCCTCGGCTGTCTAATTGTGTTTCATCTTGCCAGGTTTCTTCACACGCCAATTTGTTTCAGTGGAAACGAACTTAACGTTGTCAGGGCTGTCCGGGGGCGATTTCTTTCAGTCCTGGGTCCCCACCGTGGCATTTATTTTAAATGTAGTGATCTCACATACAGGCAGCATGGCCTGGGGGCAAGGGCGACTTTGAGAACCCATCTAAAATGTAATGTGGAGGGTATCCCTCTCCAGAAACTTAGATAAAATGCAATTTTTTATTTATTTTTTGTAAATTTCTTGTTGTTTAATCCTAAAGAGTAAAGCTGTCATTAAGTAACAATGATAATGGCGTCATGTTATGATTCATGTCAATTTTTTTTTCAACATCAGAGCGTATGTCAGACCACTGTGACACTTTTACTTTTAAGACTGGATTCTGATCGTTGCTTTGAATTTGTTAGGTTGATTCATGCAAATTCTTCTCGTGATCCATATCAATATATTATAACTGTATTCATAAAGGTCCACTTAGTCTATGTGTGAACAAACTGACCACTTTGGCTTTCAGTTCAAAATAAGTTATAAGTGAAATGTTATCCTGTGTTTGTTCATATTCTGTAGCTCTGTTCATCGGGTTGCTGTCGGTCCTAGGAGCAACAGCTGGTGCGCACAGACTATGGGCACATCGCTCTTATACGGCCAGCATGTCTCTTAAGGTGCTGCTGATGATCTGCCAGACCATGCTAGGTCAGGTTAGTACGCACTGCGAACGACCGATAAAGTGTTGTCTGTCGCTGCTGAAGGATCAGATTGTGACATACTGTGAGTGTAGTTCAGTTGTCGTCCATTTGTGCCGAGTCAGTGTGACATAAAGATGGCTGCCACATTAGAGGTTTGCACCAAGGCCGAGAAACATAAATACCAAGTCTTGCAGAAATTTCTTCACACTACAAAAGAATTATTACTTGAGGATGGTCCATGCTTTTTTTGTCTGTGAATGTGCGTGAACATCGTTACCTCTCCGCATCAACTGCATTTGTTTAGCTACTTTTAAATATTTTGTTCCACTAGTCCACACTTCATTGTGGCAAACAGTTCTGTCAATATTTGACAGTCAATTGTCAATGGATCTCTGACTCTTTCACTCCTTCAAACAGAGAAAAACAAACACAAAATGCACAGTTGCAGTCATCTTCGTGTCATGCGCACTTTGTACAAACAGATTGCATGTGAACCACATTTGCGTTGTGTCACCATCTGAGCTTTAGCTACAGCGTGACCAATCCTCAGCAGCGTTGTCAATCGAACATCGCTATTACGCCTTGACTCTCCTTCATCGTTATAATAAGTACTCCTATTTACTGGAATGTCAGGATGCAGCTATTATGAACGCATGTTACGAGTATAGAGACTGCGTATGTCACGTGAGCAATCTCTTCATAATCTTATAAAGGGCGTTATTCTTTTTGCTAGATTATGAAGAGACTACTCGCGTGTTTTAAAATCGTATTAACCTTGACTGTGCAAAGAAGAACACGTCCATTCAGCTGTCAGTACATCGCGTCAGGAAACCGTTAACCCTGAAATTTAAATTGCGTCCATCATCCCTGTAATGCAGGGGTTCAGATGTCGTATTCAAATATGGTAGAGGTCGATATTTGTCAATGACATTTACAAGTCAACAGAATAAAGCAAGAAATACCTTAGAAACAAATAAGAAAATTGCATTTTATTATTCGTTATTTATTAAAGTGATGTCTGACGTGTTGCAGTGCAGCATATACGACTGGGTTCTGGACCACCGTTTCCACCACAAACACTTTGGCACAGATCTTGATCCATACAACAATAAAAATGGGCTGCTGAATGCACATGTAATTTCCCATTTGAAGAAATGGAATCCTGACGTTCAGCGCCTTGCTGCTATCGACATGTCTGACATTGAAGCGGACTCTGTTGTTATGTTCCAAAAGAGGTAATCGGAACTAAGACCCGCCCAAAACTCTGTACCCTGATTTAAATAACAGACGCTATTGAATGAAAACCATAGTTAAATAACCACAGGGTTAAGATTTCATAGTAAAGTAGTTTGGCTTTATACTAAACTCGTGATTTTTGGGCAGTAGAGAGTTAGTGTAAGAGGAGAGTGATGAGATATCTCGTTGTCTATGACAGAATTTGCACATCACTAACATCAGAGTTAATTTGCAGCTGTCTTTCATAAATCCTCTGATGTCCCATCAATGATGAGTTGCTTCTATGTTTCACGTTTTGTGAAATGGCAATGCTGGTGGCTGTAGTCATTTTGTTGTCGATTTTGCACGGTTTTTTAATACGCACATTCAGATGTTCGTGAAGAATACAATGCAAGGATTATTGGATTTATAAAAAAAAAATATCTTGTAATATTGTACACGGGCGTATCCAGCAGAATGGACAGACATCTATCAGGCAGGATGTTCGGTCTCCGAATTCTACGTGTCTATAAACATTTTTTTTTAAGGTGTGAGGCCTGCGTAGAAACGTAAGGTTGGCACTTCAAGACTCTACTTAGAAGTAAGGTCATACTGTGTGTGTGTGTGTGGGGGGGGGGGGG